CCGTAACTCTTGTTGTCTTTGGTGGGATGGTTGATAGGTGATTCATCCTGCCTGCTGTCCGCAACCGCTGGGCGCTGGCACGGGTCGCGGTGGAAGGACTGAGGCAGACTAAGACTGTTGGATGCCATGAATGAGCGGTCTGAGCCTGCTCCCATCCATTTTTGTTCCTCAGTCCCCGTTCCTGCCCATCGAAGCCTCCTGCCACTAGAAGTGTCCTCCCTCCAGAGCAGATTGCCAGCTCAGCCTTGCAGACAGGCAGCAGAGTCGGGGGTGTCCTCCTTCTCCAGACCAGACATCAAGTTGGTTTCCCAGGTGGCCATCCCAGAGCCGTCACTGGTGGGTTGACCTACATGCCTTGGTGTGGCCAGACGGGGTATGGCCAGGAGAAGTTTGCAAAGCTTCAGAAAATGGGGCTAACCCTCCTGCAAGCTCCAAGAGTGCTGTTCTTTTCTGCTGTTTTAGGGAGAGCTCTGACTCACCACAGCACCAGAATCAGTATAAGACAAATGTTTACAAAACCAAACTCCACAGCCGTGTCTGCAGAAGAGGACGAGGCAGTAGCGAGGGGTTGCACTGGAGAGAGAAGGAAAATGCCAGCTGGAGGGAGCCGCATCTTCCCGGCAGTCGTTAGTAGAGCAGAGATTGATTTTCGAAAGCTGCCTGGGGAGCTGGATGGTTTGGGGCAGACCAGTCCTGGGAAGGCAATGGCATGGAAATGAGGGGGAGGAGAGTCTTGCAGGGATTTGGTGTACAGTTGGGAGTATCAGCATCCCTTTGCTGAGCACGGTTGCTCTGTTACCTGGAGTCAGTGGGCAGCAGGTACCATCTTTTGCTCTGTGCACAGCACTTGCCATAGTGCTGTTGAGCTCTGGTTTGGATTTTTTGCTGCTGAGAAGTGAACACAGGTGAGGCATCCTCACAGGAGCTGATCATTTGTCCTTGATAACTGTAACAGCTTATTGCTTTATTTAGCGTGACATCAATTATTTATTACTATTAATGAAGGACACAGATGGCTGTCTGGTCAATAAAATATCTCCTACTCCACAGAGATGATCTACTTAGCTATCATTTACTCTGCTGAGAACCTTTGGATTCTTTCTGAAATTTAATAACGCGAGCAAAGATACTACAGCAATCTAGAAGGTTTGTGCTTCAGGGCTGCTTTGGGAGACTGAAATCCTTCTTTATATTTGCTGGCGGGTTGTGTGAGAACACAAGTCCAGACGGGAAGGAGAAGCCCCTTTGCTTTCCATCACAAGCTACTTATCCATATAATCCCTTTTATAAAGTGATCAAACTCCTTCTTAAAAGATAGATGATTTGCCCTTCTCAGGAGTAGATCGTTTATTCATATCCAATTTACTTTCTCTTGCCATTACTGCCCATTAGCCTAAATATTTATTTTCCATCTGAGTGCCTGCCCTGTTGATGTATTCACAGAGTCCTGTATTTCTGCTTGGCCTTTTTATGTCTCTGCTCACATGGTAAACTTGTGCTTTTAGTTATTTCCCTGGGAAGCCTTCTCTCCTGCTTTCCCCGTGCCTTGTTCCTAAGCACAGATGAGGAATACTACGCACTGAGCTCTCACCATTGCCTTGGGCATTTAGGTCGGTGTTCCTCCATTGCTACAGCATCCCAAGACCACTTTGACTTTGTAGAGCAACATTAGTGGTCCCTCATCCCCTTGCAATGCCAGCAAATGCATGTTTCCTTCGTTGCATTTCACTGGTTGAGTGATGGTCTCAGTCTAAATCTAGGGAATAACTTGTTTTCTGATCCTCGGGAAGGCTGAGGAAATTTCATTTCAGCTGCTCTCAGAGCACCGCAGACTGAACAAAGAGAGACTTCTTGTGTGTGAGATGAACAAACAAAGTTGCCCTGTGATCTGCTTCACCCAGGGGAGAGCAGGAGAGAGCAGCTCCCCGCGTTCGCTGTGGATTGACAGCTCTGAGTAGTCAGTTTGTCCCTGGGGCGTCCCTTACCTGACCCGCTGTTTGCCCCGTGGTCCGTGCAGACCGGCACCACCGGCGATCTCACTGCTGCTGGTACAGGTGCAGAAAGACTTCAGCAGCTCTGCTAGCATCTGTTTTGCTGTTTTCATAACAACCTCTTTGCTTTTGTTTGATTGTAGCAGAGCCAATGAGAGGGGGATGTTCCCCAGAGGCTCAGGATTGAACACAAAGCACCCTCTTGCTGTAGGGATTTTTTACTGCACAGGTTTGGGCTCATCCCAAGGTGACAGCACACTGACAGACCCCGAGACCTTCATTTCCTCCCGTGCAGGGGGACAGCAATGCACTCTGTGACCTGGGCAGGTCTGATCGTATGCTGGGGCAAACCAGAGTGTTGTGTGATGCAGATGCTGCTGTGTTTTGGGGTATTTCTCACTGCCGGCCTGCTCCTCTCCCCTCAAACCTACCCAGAAAGACCATAAAAGAAGAGTATTCAGAAGTTAGTGGATGACTTAAGGAGAGATATCTGTGCAATTTTAATACATGCTTTCATTTAGTGGTCGCACATGACATTTTCCATCCCATTTCCAGTCTCCTTCATATCTTGTGCCACCCTCTGCACTCCCTGTCTCAGCCCTGGGTTCTTCTCTCCTGTCCCATCTCTTGTGCTCCCTGGCACAGGTGTCCTGACTGGTGCTCCTTATGTCCATGCACTGCCAGTCCAAATCTCCCCTTGGTCTTGCCCAGCTATTTTCTTTCTGGCCCTTCATCGCCAGCCGGTCAACCCTGAGTGCTCTGGGAAAGGCGCGAGATCCCACAGGAGGCACCCATGGGATGATCTGTCCCCTGTCCCCACTGTGAAGTTTCCTCCTGCTCAGAAGTTGGTTGTTTGAGATCTGAAGAGGTTAAAAAAGCTCTTGCTCTTGTTCAGCAGCACAATCTAGTCCTGCTTCTTCGTTACGTGTTTCTGATTCATCTGGTTTGTAAGTCACGGCCGCGTCTGTTCTCAATGACTTCTGGTGACAGGGAGTTCCCCAGTCCAGCCCGATGTTGTATGAAACGGGATGGAAATGAAAGTTGGAAATGAGCAATAGGGTTTGGGTTGTTTGTTTAAACCATAAACCCAGAGCTACGGGGCTTGCTCAAGGCCATTCCTCGCTCATGACTTCCAAGCAATGGTTCTACCGCTGCCAACCCAACCTGCCCGTTGAGCTGACTTGGGGTTTGGTACGGACCCAGCGCTGGGGACTGGGTTAAACTACAGGGACCGGTGACAGAGCTGCCTGGAAAAAGTTTGGAAAGAACAAGTCGTGCTGGGAGCATTAAAATGAATAATTAAGGCTTGGATTCCTTTAGGGAGGAAAAGAATTTATTGCTGCTCTTTGCTCTGGCCGAGGGGGACATTTGTTACCGAGTTGTGTGTTTTGAGACAAGACGCAAATGCGGTTTGGGAGGGGCTGGGGGGGAGGGGATTTTTTCTTCTACCTGGGTAATGCAGCCGCACAGCCAGACGTTCGGGGCTGGTTACACCACTGGGTTATTTCTCATGGTCCGTACAACGAACCTAGACCCGTACTTCGTTTCAGTAGTCCTCAGTCACTTCTGCTTTTAGAAAAATAAAGGAAAATGCTGAGAATGGGATTGTCCTCCTCCCTCTGCTTCCGTGTCTCCACATTTACACATGCAGAAGGTACCCAGCACCGCAGCCCAGGTCCAGGTTTGCTTATAGCGGCACAACTCCATCAGCTGCAGCAGCCCTGTCTCCGACTCCCGTCAGTGGGAATGGGGGCACAACCAGGGCAGCTGCTCTGGGTTTTTTACTGCTGAGTACCGTGGGCTTTGAGCAAGGCTGGTGCGAAATGGGAATTGCATGCGATGGGCTCTAACTGATAGACAGCCTGCCCACTGCAAGGAGACAGGTTGCACAGCAGTGAATAATCAGGCCCAAAAAGCTTAATAAATGGAGCGTTTTCAGTTTCAGCTGGGTCCGATCTAAGTGTTTAATAAGCTTTATAAACCAGAAGACCAAAAAAAAAAAAAAGTTTTTCAACATTTTTAATTAGGTTTCTTTTTTTTTTCTTCGAAGGCTTGTAAAGGGGTGAGTGTTCTTCAGCACAGCTGAAGGAGCTCCAGCCAGAGCTGCAGGAGCCAGCGGAGTGCATATGAAAGGGAATGCAGAGCTACTGATTTTCATTGAATAAAATTTAAAAAAAAACACACAAAAAAAACCCCAGCACATTGAGAGCAATTCCATCCAAGCTCTACAAATGTCTCCTTTCCTGACAATCTAACATAGCAGAAACACAGTTTGCTGGGGCAGGTGATTTTTGAAAAAGGCTGTGTCCCCTTGAAGAATTTAATTGCAGTTAGGGCAGGAGAGCCCTCTTTAGCCAGGCTTCCAGCTCTTCTGGGGACCTGGAGCCCATCCTGGGGTGGTGGTCCTGCAAAGAATCATAGAACAGTTTAGGTTGGAAAGGACCTTGAAGATCATCGAGTTCCAACACCCCTGCCCTGGGCAGGGACACCTCCCACCAGCCCAGGTTGCCCAAGGCCACCTCCAGCCTGGCCTTGAACACCTCCAGGGATGGGGCCTCAACAACCTCTCTGGACAACCTGTGCCAGTGCCTCACCACCCTTAAAGTGAAAAACTTCGTAATGTTTGATCTAAACCTGCCCTCTTCCAGTTTGAAGCCATTCCCCCTCATCCTCTCACTACATGCCCCAGTAAAAAGTCTAGCATGTGGTGTTTGCAGAGAGTCCACGTGTTCCTGGATGCTCTGTGAGCACACCCTTCTGTTGTCCACGCTGTGACTTAGCCCTGGCCCTGCTTTCCGCAGTGGGTCCCTGGTACAGCTGGTGGCCCAGGTGTATTTTCTACTTTCTGCTTTGTCCACAGGTGATATTCCCCATAGAGACTTGGGACCATTCCTACCAGCCACAGCCTGTGCAGAGTTGTTCCTACAGTGTGTTTTTTTTTTTAAATGGTCAGCAATAATTTTGTGCCTGTACTGATGTTTTGGTCTTGCTCATCTCTTTGCTCTCCAGGAGAATCCTTGAGCTTTGCGGATGATTTGCTTTCTGGCCTTGCAACCTCCTGTGTGGCAGCGGGTAGGAGCCATGGAGATGTTCCTGAAACCAGCCTCTATTCAGTCATTTTCAAGTGCCTGGAACCAGATGGTCTGTACAAGTAAGGAGAGGCATGTGGGGAAGTGCTGGGGGCAAGGGGGGACCTCCAGTACTGTTATTTTATTGTTATTAACCTTTTTGGTTAGCACCGTGTTCCACCAGACACTGGAGAAATGATGAAACTCTTCCTGTTGCTTTGAGTGTTCACCTCAGCTAGTGAAATGGAAAACCAGTGTCTGCCGGTACGGCACGGGAGGCACTGGACATCTGTGGGAGACTCCACTGGGATAACTCTCCTTTTCGGTATGCTGGGCTTCCAGGCCCGTGCCTGGTGGGACAGGGTTGTCTCTCGTGGGTGAACTGAGCTAATGTGGTCAGATTGAAGCAAGTTGCCAAATGCTTGGTGGACCAAAATAGCCAGATGTCAAAAGCGTGGTAGGGGTTGTTCGTGTAAGTTGCTGTTTGTATTAGCAGGACGCGTATAGCGGATCAGAGACACCAAATCCATCTGCCCGTCACTTCTGCAGGGATGGCTGGCCACGCCTCTCCTGATCTTCTTGTTCACTTACTTGACTCTCCTGAGATATCCTTTGAGCACATGGGATTGGATTTTGTGACTGAATCCTGTGGAGCAATTAGTGTCCAAAGCAAAGGGATAATTTCAAGATCTGAGTATTAACTTCCCCTTCAGTATGGTTTGGGGAGGGTCTGGGCTCTTCAGCCTGGCTTGTGAGTCAGGGCATCCTCTGTCTTGGTGGGGGAATAGCAGGAGTCAGGAGAGTAAGAGAGAAAAAAAGAGAAGAAAAAGGCAAGGAGGCGGAGGAGAGACAGAGTAAGCAAGAGAGAAACACCCAGGGCTTAATGTCAGAGTGACTGTAATAATTAAAACACATTTTGTAGTGAGTAATGAAACTTTTTATGGGACCACAAAAGCATTTAAAGCAAGAGCTGGCAAATGGTCTGTCAGCGAGAACTTTTAAAGATCTTGATTAATACTTTCCCTTTGCCTCGCCCTCCCCCCCCCATTAAGTATGTTGACAGCCTCCGAAGAAGGAGAAGCCTTTATTTGCGCATCTCTTGAGCAGGGCTGCGTCCAGTAGAGGGTTCCAAGTGATACCTCTTGCCACTTAATAATTTTAAATGTTTTCCTGTTAAATAAGTACAACACGTAAATATAATTATTAATATCTCTGGGAACTGGGCTGCCCTGACAAGGTGCCAGGGAGAGGCCGGAGCAACCGCAGAGCTCGCTAATAACCCGCTGCCCGTAAAACCGGCCGGTTGTGAGCTCTCAGCCGTTCGGCTCACGGCTGCCAGGGGCACTGGGAGAGGGAAGAGCCGCTGGGTTTGATGGGGAGACTACTGCCGAGGTGAACACACGGAGCTGGGAGCCAGAAGGTCTGGCTCTTGGGCAGCCCGGGCTGCCAAATCATCTTCCCCATCTGCCGGGCAGGGATAATTGCACTCACCCGTTGCTTTAGGGGCTCTGTGATCTAATTCTTGATGTCTGTAAAGAGTTGGGAGAGTCTTGGGTGGAAGGCGTAAAGCTTTGTCCAGGGTTTTGTCATCTCTTTGGTCAAACCCAGGCTTCTGCTTCAGGGTGGTGAGGCACGTTGCCACAGAGGGGGTAAGCAGAGGTCGGCGATGCCCTGTGTCCTGGGGGTGGCTGTGGGCAGCTCCTGCTCTCTGTGCATGCTCCTGGGTGAGGGACAGTAGCTTTTTTTGTGGGGAGCCATGGCTGCAGGCAGCCAGCGGGCATCGGTCCCCTGGCATCGAGGAGCTTTGGACCTCATCCTTCTGCGGGGACAGGCCCTGGGGTGATGCACAGTGTTGGCTCCGTCCCTCAGCTAATGCTCAGCAGGGCTTGGCGCACCGTTCCCAGGGCTGCACACACTTAAGTGCAGATGTATGGACACATGTCCGTGTTGGCACCTGTGGGGCATGGACCCACACTCCTGGGCATCCAAAAAACGTGTGTGCACACACACACTACAGCACACCCTCCTCAGCATCTGCCGCTGCATGCCCCAGCACGCCTGCGTGGACTGATGCTCAACGTGGATGCATGTATATCCACCACACACACACATTTGCTCCAACCTGGGACCTAACCAGCGTTTGCTTAGCATCTGGGCATTCTCAGATACGTAGGCACACACATTAAATATGTTCCTCGTGTTCAGATGTCCATACAGTTGCAACACAGCGTGAAGAAAGCCAGAACAGTGAAATGTGAGGCTAACACTCTGTTCTGAGCCCGCGCAGACGAAACAACAACAGAAACACGGGCACAGGGTCATTCCTTAAATTGAATTTCTTCTGCTTGTTTCATTTGTTTCTTTGGAAGAATAGCTATCTTGGAAGGCTCTGGCCTGGGCATAATCCTGATTATAGCAACTCAGCAGGGACCTGTGCTCTTCTGTAGGCTGTTAGGTGAGCACACAGTCTGCAGCATCAGAGCTCTTAAAAGCAAATGCTTTTGCTTGTTCAGTAGTCCAAGGGTGTCACGTAAACTGAGAGAGGAGACTGTGAGATCGTGGCGGTCTCTTCTGCTCTGTAAATGTGTCAGATATTTTGTCCTTTTTCTTCTGTAGTACCTACAGCAATTACACTCTGCTGTTGACCATTCTTTTGGAGTACTACCAGCCTGAGATCAAAGCTGGGCTTGAGTATGAAAAACAAAACCAAAAAATGCTCTACAAGCAAACAAATAAACAAATTCTGATTGATTCCTCTGCTTTTGAGACTTCTGTAATTTCAAAACATAAACTAACAAAAGGAGAACTAATTTCTTTGTCCTTTGCAATTTCAGTCCGAAGAAAGTATGTTGCCTGTCAGCCCTTTTCTTTCCCCTGCATGTAGTACGTTGGGATTGAGGTGCTAGTCCCTGTGCGGAGGGTTTTCGGAGGGAAAGTAGTTCATGTCAACAAAGATGCATGTGCTCCATATGCTCGTGGACACTGCTGCTGCTCTGTCAGGCCTGGGTGCCTGGGCGGGGGGATTCATGCTGCAGTCATGTGAATGTGCTCGAGTGCATGTGCGCAGGGACGCTGAGGATGGTCCCTGAAGACTGTCAAGTTTGGTTTAAGCTCTTCAAAAACAGAAGTCTTACAGTCCTTGCAAAATGCATCACAGGAGAGGGGATGGTTCTCTCCCGGGGTCACCTAGAGCAGAGCAGTCTGTCAGGCTTCCTCCCGGGTGGATCTGGAAGAGGATGGGGTGAGGAAGGCAGTGGGAGAGATGTCTATGTGTCTGTTAAGTGCTCGTCTTGCATGGAACAGCCGGTCCGGACAGCAGTTAATGCCAATCAGATTGATGGTTTGGGAGCTTGGGAGCAGCACACTGTGACAGGCACTGGTGATGCACCAAGCACCAGTCAAGAGAAGGAGCTCTGGCTTGTCTCAGAGGTCAAACTCAGCCTGAAGGACTGAGCTTACATTTCTCATGGCCCCTATATAGCTCAGCACCCTACAAATCCAACCGATCTCTTTGCCGTGGAGACAGGAGCTTCCTCTGTGCATCCCATAGCCTCCCTGAGCCTTCAGCCCAGCTCGCCCATCGCGCTAGCTCATCCATCTCAGCTTCTCACCCCGTTGTTCCCTGAGTGCCTGGGGATGCCTCTTCGCTGAGCCGTACCTGATCGGCGGCTGGAAAGCGGCTTTGCCAGCCCAGCACGTTCGTTTCAGATACTTGGGGAGACACCAAGTATCTCTCAGCCAAAAAAGGGAAATTTTGGAATGGGAAATGAAAACCCCCTCCAGCTCCTCAATGGACCTGCAGTGCAAACACACCAACTTCTTCCCTGCGCCACAGATACTATAATTATAGATTAGATTAAATCCCAATGTTTCACTTTATTTACATTCCTGACCTAGCCTATTCATTTCCGGTATTTGTGCCAAGAATCAGCACTAAATTTACTGGAAATAATATGGAAGTCATCAGGATCCCTTCCAGAGCCTTTCCTTGGAGTGTGTTCATGTGCTGAGAAGGAGCCTCAAATTTGCATTCCCTTTGCTGGCTCAGATAGGGTTTCGCCAGGGTGATCCTGAGCCAGCCCAAAGGCTCTGGGAGAACGCGTTTCAGGAGTGCCGGAAAGGTGGAAAGCCTTTCCTAGGGGATGAAGATGGGGCATTGTCATCAGATGGAAGGGGATTCAGTTAGACCTCAGCATGACAACACAAGGCTCCCATACACAGCCGAGACCCACCAAGACCTGCCCAGCCAACGTCACCCTGTGTAGGGTCTGGAGGCCATCGCCAGCATGGCCAGGCTCAGCCTCTGTCATCATATGCTGGCGAACAGTGAATGTACTGTATTTTGGCAAACCTAAGGAAAGAGGCAAAGGCATTGAGTAGGGGGAACCCATCATAGCACGGACAGACAGCGACTGCGGTTCAGCAAGCTGAATGTGCTAGAGGAGCTGGCCCAGAACAAGGCTGATTAATGTTGACTGACCTCTGCCTTATGCATAGCTGGGATAAAAAGTGGAATGGAAACCCTTGGTGCTCGAGAGTGTGCTAATGCTGGCAGCAGTCCGCTGCTCCTTATATGATACTAATTGTTATTGTTGGTCTTCCGTCAGGAAGACACGTGAATGAGCACTGGAGCAATTGGAGACAGATCCCAAATAGCTCAGTGGCATGGGTTAAAACACATCTGTTGCGGCCCTTGGCTGAGTCCCCTGTGTGCACAGGAGCTGTGCTGCTTCATTGAATCCACCTCTTCTGAAGTCGAGCGCTGTATGGCTGTAGTTTCTTCTCAGGCATTCCCGGCTTGCGGAAGCTCAAACAAGGCAAGTCAGGAGTTGAACAAGCGTTTGCTAAATCCCGGGCCTGTGCTCCAAACGCAGGCTCGTCCTTCGTCAGCAGTTTAGGATTGCTTCAGAACCAAGCTGCCCAAATGCTGGCATGGATGTGGTTTTGCTGAAGTTAAGTCCAGCATCGAGCTGTCCGGGCCCATCTGGGCTGTGTGGATATTGCCACAGTGAAGGTGGGCTGGCCCCATGAAAGACAGCCTGTACAGGGAGGTCAGGGGCTCAGCAGAAGGAGATAGTCTCTG